AACAGTGATCCTTGACTACCAGTTCTGTTTTGTGGCCAGTCAGAGTCAAGGATGAGTCGTACAATCTCGCGATGTCCCTTGGCTGCTGCTATATGCAGCGGAGATCGGCCCTTAGAATCAGTCTTGTCGACAGCTGCGCCACGATCGATTAGAGCCCGCACGATTTGTATGTCGCCAAGCTCTGCTGCGATGCAAATTGGAGGATTCCGGCCATCGCCAGAATAAACTATTGTACATCACGTCAGTTTTCTTCAGTATTCTCACATAGCCTGGAGGTCCTACCATCTGTGTCTGTTCCGAGTTCGAGGAGTGATTGTACAAGACCAATGTCCTCGTTCGCTACGGCACTCATAATCCAGTCGTTGACACTGAATGTTCCCTCCAGTAATTTCTTGATCATCTCAGGGTTCAAGGTTTAGCCTTTGGTCGCAGGAGGTCTCTTCTCCACATTAGTCACCCTTGAAGCGTCGAATTCCTCACGCGTCCTGAGTTCTCGGGAGCACAATTCGTATATCGGGCCCTGGATCAGGTCTTGATCGCTGAGAGAGTCATCGCTGGATGTGGTTCTGGAGGTATTGCTGAATGTGTTACTGAAAGTGCCGGGAGAGGACAGATAATCTTCTTCCCATCTTGTGAGAGACATTGCTTCCGAGTTTTCGTTGGGTGACGGAAGCGAGTCCTCTGCAATGAGCTCATATCGAATGGCCATGTTGCCTGGGTCCATCTCATGGATATCCAAGTTCCTATCGGCCATACGAAAGGCGTCGTCAAGCCTGGAAATATTGAACTCGAGCTGGTCATGTCCTTGGAGGTCTTTGAATTCGGCTCGGAGCTTTTTCAGATGATCAGCTTCGCCATTTCTCGGTCTGAAGAGGACATCAGGGTCAAGGGGGTAGCAGCCACTATTATCATGCCCTGCCCTTCCAGCCGCATCGTATTGGCGGTAGTGATTGTCTTCCAAAAATCCGTGCACGAGTAGTTCCAGTTCTAGGGACCGCGATGTATGCGTCGCATACGTCGGATTCAACCGCTCCGTCTCGTATAAGTTTTCCAGATGCGCTGTCAACTGACTTCTGTTTCTGAAGAGAATTCGACCATCGATGCTTCGACAGCCCTCAATTGACCCGAAGAAACACGGTAAAACAAGCATGACTTCGGCCCATAATGATTCACTCATGAAATCCACCTTGATGCCGGCGGTAGTGAGCTCAACGACAAACGCGAAGGCAGAGGGGAAATGACTCTGTCTACATTTACATGCCGACGAACAGAGCCTCTCATCAGATTCGGCAATGTAGGTGCCATATCCAAGAGAGTCGCCCTGATATCTGCCATCCCTTGACGTCTGTTAGTAATTTACTCGAGATGAAGTCACTGTGGGCAGGTGCGCTCAACTCACGAGCTTTCTTGAATCAACCGAAACTTCTTCTCCCCATATCGATAAGGGCAACATCTTTCATATTTTGGAATCGGTGCTTCCGTTATCATGGCTAGCGGCACGGTGTAGTTGGGGTCCTGCTCTTCAACAGCACCGGAACTCGCGTGGTTTGAGGCATTGTAAGTAATCTCGTTTACAGGTATTTTGTCTGACTCTCGATGTTCATCATTGAGCTCGTTTTGAAGAAAGGGCCGTATGGTAGATGTTGGATCAGACGACATAGCGGTGCAGTTAGATGGCTGAAACATGCTTGGGGTAGGCGGGTCGTCGTTCAAGTTCACAGGCTCCTGGGCGGCCGTGTCCCAATCACAGGTAATATCCATGTCTAGATTCCCCAACCCGAAAATGTCGTCGATATCACCATCAATAGTGCTCTCAGCCTCCGTGTCCATGGTGCTAGGATCTGGAAGCTGTCGATTCTTCCCTCTGTTATTCTTCAAACGGCGGGCCGTCCACTTCAACAAGCTTGAGGGCCTCTCCGGCTTGGCCTTCTGACGGAATGTGCTTCTCCTATGCTTGCTGCTGTTTTTTGTGAAGTTCCATCGTTGCAATCGTCTTTTGCACATTCTGACACTGGGTTCTCAGTGTTAGTATGAATGTGGCAGAACTCGTGTTCCGAAAGAGGGAACCCAGCCTACTTGGTGTGAAAATCATTTTCACTAGACAGAATATTGACAACGTCCTCAAGGGGCATGTCTACGTCAAGATAGAGATATTTGATGACCTTCTTCATTTTCTCCCATTCGTCCTCGGAATAGGAGCGAGTCGCTGGCAAATGACCCTCGCAGGTCTTAGTCGGTTCTTTTGAAGAACCAATTGTATCTTGAGGTGACTTATTCGGTCCTCCATTTGAGACGGAGTTCGCTAGCGGCGGTGAGGTTGATCGGAATCGAGAGCTTATGCGCTTTGCCATGCCCAAAATTGAAAGAGGAGAGCCCCCCTCGTCGTAGCCTTCTGTGAGCGGCATTACCACTGAGATGATGAATGGTGGGGATTGACAAGGCTGGCTACACAGGCCGAGACGGCTTGACGATGACACACACTGTCGACGAGAAGTTGAGCCCGGAAGATCGAAGCATAATTGAAGAGTGCGACTTCTTAAGTTGTGAGGCCCCTGAGGGTTCAAATCAAATTGACAAGATACCAACCAAGCCACCTCAGAAGGCGAGATGAGGCAACTTGGGATGCCAGTTGGCGCCCCACAGCGTCCGAAAGGACCAACCTCCACGTCGGGGTGGAGACTTGAATGAGAAAAAGACCCATTTCCAACTGGTCCAGAGTCGACAGGAGGGATGGAAAAGACCCTGCATGTAGCCAGTAATATTACTTCAAGGTGTGCAGGTGTGTAGACGTGTAGATGTGTTAACAAACAGGGGTGTCCGCATCAAAAGACCGCGCAGGTTAGCCGAGGGGAATCAGGCTCCTTGTTCAGGCAGATGCGCGGACAAGCCTCACTCGTGATGGGCCTAAGTGAGACTTCAAAAGTTGCCCCCGAAACAAATGCGTTCTGAGAGCTCATCACGCGAACGTGAGGCATTCCCAGATTTTGGCTATCGACAGCTTTGCGTTCGGGGTTGCCTGGCTAGTCGCAGTTCTCAGCTGACGAAGAGCACAATATATAAGTACTGGTCAAGGTTATGATCTCAGTCAAAATCAACCGCGTTATAGTCAAAAGGTAAAACGTCGCACAGCCAGATGTCATGTAAAGCAGTTCTCATATGTCATTTGACAGGTTTGAATGAGCGGAGGGGGAGAGAGAGGCAGCAAAGCGTGGTGAAGCTAGGCACTGTGCCAGCAGAGAGGTGGGGGAAAGAAGTTGAAGAGTACCAATCATCGATCAGAGCATCTGGGTAGGGGTTGCACTCCCAGCTAGGCCGAGCTTCTGCCGCTGGGTTTTATCGAAGTAGGTCTGTCCCCGCGTCCTTTGGTCGCCGAATTTCCTCTTCAACTCCCCCCATTCTTCTACAGCTCCGAGCACCCTCAGCTTGTACAGTGCATCTAGCCCCCTCGCACTTATACACAGTGAACCCCTAATATAAAATACCTAACATGGATTTTGCGATACCAGGAGCTTTGATGATGATCATAAAATATTGCAGATGATCTGTACTTGAGGGCACTTCTCATGCAGTCACTATCTTATTCGTCGCGCGTGAAGATTTGCCCAGCCCGTTATTATTGCTGCATGTTCTTGCCCCGGATTCCGCCCTCTTCTAGTTCTCATGATGGAGGCCAAATTCAAGCAAGAAATTCAGCAGGTACGTTGATTGATCACTCTCAGTGATATTCCATCCCCCCTGTCATATATGTTTCCTGAATGTTCCTCGTACACTACTTCGTCCCCTTCCCTCACAGAACCACCAGCTTGCCCGTCACCCGTGATACCTCGACTCATCTATTCATCTCTAGATGATGTACATCGCCGGAGAAATCCAAGATGTGTCAATCCAAACCATCAAGCTCATTGAAGATATCATCCTCGATCAAGTCGTCCACATGGTACAGCTCATCCACCCGTCCCCTATCCACACCTAACAGCTTCACAGCTGAAGACCGCAAACGATCTCGCCAGCCGTCGCGGCTCCCGCGTGTTCTCCAACAACGACCTCATCTTCCAGTTTCGCCACGACACCGCCCGCATAGAACGCCTGCGCACCTTTCTCACCTGGAAAGCCATCCGCAAGACCGTCAAAGACTCGGACGAAAAGGAGGGCTTCGTCGATGAAGCAGACATGGAAGAAGCCGCGCCCACTGACGAGGCGCCCGCAGCCAAAGGCAAGTTTCCTACCGTCTCCCTTCCGTGGGACGTGTCTTCGTTCTTCTCCGAGCAGGTCGCAGAGGCGCCGGAGGACATCACCGACATCACCAGCAGCGAGGCCGCGCTGGAGAAGCTGCGCAAGAACGACGAGCGGACAATGGACATGACTGTGGCCGAGTACGCCACTTGGTCTGAGTACTGCCACGCATCGCTCACGTACCGCAAAGCGAAGCGCTTCAGGGAATGGTGCGGGCTGGGGGTCATCGCGAAGAACAAGCCCAACGACGATGTCATGGACATCTTGGGCTTCTTGACTTCTGAGATGGTACAGAGCGTTGCGGCAGAGGCGTTGAAGGTGCAGGCCTAGGAGCTGGCCTATCTTGATGGTCAACTCGGCACCGAGAGAGTGCAGAAGCGGCAGGGGGGTTTATCTTCGGAACCGGAAGGGGCGAGGAAGCCAGTTGACTCGAGGCATGTGAGAATGGCTTTTCAGAAACTGCAAGGACGACCGAAGAAGAGTCGAGCACTGTTAAATGGTACAAGACTTGCGTGGAAATCTGGACTGAAGCTGGTAGGTGCGGACTTTCTTAACTGAGGGCCTGCTAACACGACTGCAGCTTTGGTGGGGTTTGTGGTTTGCATTCCTTCAATAGTCTACAAGAACATGCGGGTGACAGAAGTTCCCCGCAAGTTCCCAACAAATATAGCAAGATCACTCCAACCTTGTTAAAGGACAAGCGAAACAGTGCTTGAGCAAAAAGACGATCTACGGATGAGCAAATCATACAAAAATGCAAAAGAGAACGTCAAGGACAGGATTCGAACCTGCGCGACCGAAGCCACTGCCTAAACTGACATCAGAGAACTGATAGCAGGGCAGCCCATTAACCACTCTGGCACCTTGACCAATCGAATTCGATGAATTGTACGACGCAAGATGTGTATATGGAGGCCGTGCGCCTGTACCCCACCTTTTCTTCCTGGCAGCTCCCTCTCATGTCATGTTTGCGCCGATCTTTTGCCCAAGACAAGACTTGGGAATTGTATCCGAAGACGATGCAGTAATTGCATTACCTTCCCGAAGTACTGTTTGACTTGATTCACTGGCATGCATTGGCTTCTACCAAGGGGTGTCATCCAGGAAGCTATGTAACTGCTGCAGTTGGTGCAGGGACGGGAGCTCCTCCCCCACCACGTTCGGAAGTTCCTAAGCTCCTGCCATCGCCAATTACCGGAGCTTGACCCCGCGACGTCACATGACGAATGACATGAAGGTCTTAAAGGCCATTCAAGTTGCAACTTCTTCCCATTCATCAACTACAAACGTCTGAACACTCGTGAAACTTACCGCCTTTCATCGTTTCGACCCTTTGTCCGCTCATTGGTACTTAAGAGTCCCCAAAACCAGTTGAAGGAATCCAACTTGACCACCCGGAAGCCGGCATCCGATAAACGAAGAACACATCACGATGGTCACCACGCAGCAAGTCAACCTTCCCGACGGGCGAATTCTCTCGTACCACTTGTCTAGCCAAGGTGACGAGCCCCTCGTGCTGCTGGCGAACTCGCTGTCGGCGCCATTCCGGGTCTGGGACCACGTCGCCAAGTTCCTCGCAGAAAACGGCTTCCGCACGCTTCGCTTTGACCAGCCAGGCCACGGCCAGTCGTCAGCTCCCAAGAACCTCGACACGTCATTTGAGTCAATTGCCGATGATGTGTACCACCTGCTGCAGTCTCTCAAGGTTGAGAAGGTCTTCGCCTGGATTGGAGTGTCAATGGGTGCCGCGACCAGCTTCTACTTTGTGAACAAGTACCCTGGCATCGTGCACAAGGTGGCCATCTGCGACACCATCGCGGCATCCCCCAAGAACGCTGGTGTGGATGATCTGTTCGCACCGCGGGCTCAGCAGGCGCGGGAGGCCGGCAACATGCAGGAGCAGGTTGAGGGCACGATAGACCGGTGGTTCGGCCAGGAATGGGTCAAGGCGAACCCCGACGAGGCGGACCGGGTGCGCGGCATCATGCTCCAGACCAGTGTGGACGGGTTCGCGACGTGCTGTCACGCGCTGCGGAGCGACAGCTTCGACATCCGGCCGCTGTTTGGCAAGGTGGGAGCCGGTGTTGACGAGGCGCTGCTGGTTGTTGGCGACAAGGACGCCAACCTGCCCGAGGCCATGAAGGAGATGCGGCAAAAGGTGGAGGAGGGATTCCGAGCGGCGGGCAAGGACAACAAGATTGAGCTCAAGGTGATCAAGAACGCGGGTCACGTCCCCTTCGTTGATGGTTACGACCAGTTCAAGGAGATTATTCTCGGATACCTCAAGGCTTAGTCGAGACTAGCGAGTGTATGTATCATGAGTATCATGACTATGGGGACATGTGGAGGTTGGAGGTCGCGACGGACTGTAATCAGCTTCCTGTTCCCAGCCTCTGAGGGCTTCGGTGAGATGCCTAGCACAATTAGCACAAAATACAAAGACAAAGAAGCACAACTCGCCTGTCGGTGAAGGAGCCAATGACACGTGCCTGGTACTCAGACTTGGCCAATGCTCCTCACCGAGACTCGCCGGAGCTCCGCCTTAGGCTTAGCTTCGGCTGGGAGCACCCACTCACGTCCACCGCCAGCCTCTTTTTTCCGTGGATTTTCCCCCCGTCCCCCAGCCCAGCCGCCGCTGCTGGTTCCCCGTCAATTCACAGTCACAGTCACTGCTGGTGCCAGTGCTGGCTGCTTGTGCTGATCGCCCATTTCATTTGCTCCCACAGCAACCGCCCGACAACCATCACCTCCCCCGTCGGCCATCCACCTTTCCCACCACACATACACACCACGCATACCACATACCACACACACCATACACAACGCACAGCACTACCACCACCACCACCCGTGCGGACAAAGGCTCAAGCATGCGATAGAACATCTTTGACCTCGTTTCCCCCTTTCCCCTGCCACCCTCATCCTTTATATCGATCGCTGCATCCGGCTCTCCTCATCCCCATCCAGCCTGCATCAGCATTTACCGCCCGTCGCCTCTATTATTTTCTCTCCGCCCTGGTTCCATCGCTGACGTGGTGTTGCGCTCAACGCGACATTTCTCCGCCCCCGCCCGCGTCGACCTTCGAATCGACACTCGGAAAGGAGAGTCGCAGCTTTTCAATCAATCTCAACCATACAATTCGATACATTCCTACCCCTTCGACGCTGGTCTACCGCTCATTCGTCGCTTACTGCGTCACGATCCAAGATGGCTGCGTCCGACGCTGGTGCCCAGCTGCCCAACGGCACCCCGACCGACACCAGGTCCGTTGCCGACGAGCCCACGACGCCTCAAGACAACGATGTCCTCGCTGTGAATTCGTCCCAAGTTACCCTACCGTCGACTGAAGTCCCCGCCTCTCCCATGGATCCTAATCAATCCTTCAAGACCGAAGTCAACGACGACCGAATGAGCTCCGCCGCCGTCATCCCGTCTTCTTTGACACCGCCTCCCTCCTCCCAGGTCGTCGCACATGCCGGCAACGGAGTTCTGCAAGCTACCTACGGCGGTTCCCAGCGCTCTGCCCTCTTCTCCCCGCCTGCTACCGGCTTCAACACGACCGTCCGCCGAGACGGCGGTCTTGGATCAGAATATGTCCCCCCGGCCCCGAAGCAGGTCCTCGATGCTACCGCCGATGAACTGCGAGCCATGATGCAGACATGCATCGCCGAGCATGCCAAGTTGAAGATGGAGGCGGCCCATCACAAGCTACAATACAACTTACTTAGCCTCCAGGCTGACGAAGATGCGAAGCGGGCTGCCGTCGAGCACGAGATGACCCGCCGAGAGATCGAGGCCCTTAGGACGGCCGAGTACTCGCGACAGGCCGTACGCGAGCTCAGCGCTGCTTCGGAGTCGGCACAGATGAAGTACCTGCAGATGAAGATGTGGTACGAGGAGTCCATCGACGAGAACGAGGCCCTCTCCCGACGAGTCAAGATGGCGAAGAAGGTCATCTCCCAGAAGGAGGAGGAGATTGTGAGCTTGACGGAGGAGCGAGACATGATGCTGAACCGCATTCGGGAAAACCGGGAGCATTTTCACATGCTGTGCAGCCCAGGTGGCATCTTCCACGGTGCCATGACGCCCAGACAGCAGACGCAGCACCAGACGTCCGTCTCAACTCCGCAGCAGGCTCATCGCGCTACCCCCAAGCAGACCCCGCGATCTGCGCACCGCGATGCACGGGTCGATCGGGACCATGGCCCCGAGCCTATTGCGGCTCTGCTGCAGGCACTCAGCCAGGACAACAACAGCGCGCCGTCGACACCTACTACAACGGTCAGACCCGCGCCCCGCATGCCTCCCAAGCACACCCGAAACGCCCAGTCACTATCATCTCTACCTACGACGCCGCTTTCGCGCCCTCAGCGGCACGAACAGTCTGGTCTGCTGCCATCGGTCAACCTCGTGCCCCAGAGCGAGCCGCGGCACAGCTACAGCAGGGCTCAAATCATCCCTGGCACGCCGCCGCCAGCTGTGCGCGAGCCCACCCGCAAGAGCCGCGAGAGCACCATCTCTGCAGATGACAACGAGGAGCTCGCTCGCCAGGCGTTAGAGTCAGTCGCAAACTTGTCACAGGCATCACGAAATGCGTCACGCAGCTTCCGCAAGCCTCTCCCAACGGGCGAGGATGATGAGGATGTCTCAGAGAGCCAAGCTAGTCAGGCCGCCTCTGAGATGCTCCGTCGCGATCCTCGGGAGAGCTTCGAGGTGGCGTCTTCAGTAGGCTCGCGCGATGGCACCCCGGCGCCGGCGGAGAAGAGCGCAAGACTTCAGGCGAAGCTGTTCCCCGGCATCACCAAGGGTCACACGACAGCAGACAAGCGCAAGTTCAGTGGGGGTGCGCCTAACGCGCAAGAGACGCTGAAGCGCATGCGCATGAGCGGCGGCTCGGTGGAGGATCCCAAGGTCGGACTCGGGATTCAGTACAGTTACAGCTAAGGGCTGACGGCGGTTCGTGTCTTTGGGGCCGGCGGCGTTCTGTCAACTGTGTGTCTGACATCTGCCCGTCACCGTCGCGGCGGCGGACAGGCGAGGGCGCGGGCGCGGATGGTTCATCCGGTGGCTGGGAGCAGAAAAAAGCCGCTGAAGCGATGGGGCCCGCCCCCATTTGGAGCGACATTGGAAGCGGTGTGTGGGGATAGCACGGCGGCTGCGGCGTTGGACTGCAATTGCAGGGAATAACTGACGTGGCAATCTGCACATTTTATGGATACGGAAAGAGAAAAATTGCATTCCAAAATGATACCACTGGGGCACTGGCTTTGGCGTTTGAGAGATATGTACGACACGGAAGAGGGAATCAACATGAGCTTCAGAATAGACAACAACAAACAACATCAGACGAGTACTCGTTCTCTTCCATTTCCATGACGAAGCGATGTGAAGGGCACGGCTTGCCTCGAACCCCTCCTCTCTGCATCTGCAAAGTGAAAATGGACTCTATTCAGAACGATCCATAGCGGGACGCCCGAGAGGGAAAAGGCTCACTCACGACCAGGGTCACGCTCACGCGAGACGCAACAAAAGGGAGCCCTAGGGAGAGAGATCCAGCCCAAGCCCAGCTGAAGACCCAACACCAAAGCAAGACCAACGATGTTCGCCGCCGCCGGTGATGCTGCTGCACTGCAACTCGAACTTTGAAGAATCCACACACACGAACAGCCAGATAGCAGACCAGACCAGACCAGACCAATCCATCCATCGGCGCTTTCCCTCGTGGCAGTTCGCGCCATCGTCGTGCGCAGGAACTAACCCGTTTTCTCCCTCTTGTCTCTCGCTTCCCCTCCCTTGGGCTGGCATGCGGCCCTGCCCCTCTGCTCCAAAGGCCCAGGGCCCATGGTTCGTTCGCCAGACATAAGACCC